TGATACGGTCCAGAACACCAGACTACCATCGTATTAGCAAGAAGCTAGAAGGAAATCCAATGAGGCAAGCAGTTCAGTGCATCCCACTATTGCCGCAAGATGCCACACAAGAGACTTGGCTGCTTCTCTGCTGAAATACCATTATCAACTAAACCTCAGTGGTATGTTGAAGTGGACTTTATAAAGCCCTTTTTGGAAACACCTGTAAAAACATAAATGCTTGTTAATGGCTTGTGACCAACTTTTCATAGTGTGTTACAGCTGTTTTAATCCCCAGTAAAAATGGAAATTGTGATGAAAGCATTCATGGAAATCTTTACACACAGAAACGTTCATGGTGAGCCTTTGGGTATCTACAATGACAAGGCAATAGATTTGGTCAAAAAGTTTTAAGACTTTTTTTATGAAAAATTGACACACTTGCACGCACACAAATTTTCATTTTTTGACCAGCTCTACAAGGCACAGACAAAACTTTTCCTGTCTTCCTTAGATGATGTACCAGAAATTATATGACTAAAATGTATGATGTGCTCTGAAAGACATTGAACAAGGTAGCTACACATTAGATTTTTTTTTTTTTGAGAATTCTCATTGGAAAGGCCATTTAGATTGGTGTAAAACATTCTGTCTACTTAGTGTTTGCTTATAATAACAAGGGTAAAATCCTGGCTCTATTGAAGTCAATGAGAGTTTTGCCATTGACTTTAATAGGGTCAGGCGTTCCCCCCCAACTTTCTTTTTAGCTTAATTTTGATCTTTGGATGCTTGAGTCATTCATCTAAATTTTCAAGATTTCCAACACCAGATCCATAACTTTTCCATAGCAACTAGAACAAATACTTATTGCATCAGATTGGATGTTGTAACTGGAAATTGTTTCGTAAATATGGAACATGATCAACATTTCAGACTGTGGTGGAAAATAACTTCTTGTACTTTTTTCAGGTGGATGATTTGGGTGCAGGCCCATAAGTGTCACAACTAGCCAGTAAGTATGAATTGTCTAGTGCTGAATAAAATTTGGATTGCTCCCTAGCTGTTTGCACCATGTCTGAATCCATATGAACTTTAAAAGTTGTATGACCTTCTTTTCCTCTGTGAGGTACACAATTTCCAGCCTAGTGAGTCAGCATAATGGCTTTTTTGTCTCTGTGCAGTCATAACACTTGACCCCCTGTCACAGTACTAGATGGGAATCAGGAACTCTGGATTATACTCAGAATTCAGCCTCAGACCACCTCTGTGACATCTGGTAAATTCTTTAACTACTGTGCCTTAGTCCTGGTCTACACCTAAAACAAAACTTCACACCCCTGAGCACCATAGTTAGGTCAACCTTTTCAATGGCTATTAGCCAGGATGGGCAGGGATGGTGTCCCTAGCCTCTGTTTGCCAGAGGGTGAGAATGATTACCTGTTCTGTTCATTCCCTCTGGGGCATTGCCATTGGCCACCTTTGGTCTGACCCAGTATGGCCGTTTTTATGTTCTTAACCTTAACCTAACCCTAGATGGAGCCAGGTCAACAGAAGGTGGATTACCTATGGTGGTGGGAAAACCCCTTCTGTTAATGCACGAAGCATCTACACCATGGCACTGCAGCAGCACAGCTGGAGTGCCATCTCTGTGCCATAGTAGCAGCTGTAAAACAGAAATATTTACCTACTACTTAGGAGTCTTGTAAGGTTTGGGTTTACTTATCTTAATGATTGCCTTGCGATCACAGGATGGAAGATGCCATGGAATTTAACTGCATAATTATATAATATTTTTAAAATACTTGTGTAGAAAAAAATTGTAAATGTTCATTGTAATGCAGGGGGAATTAGACACACAATGCCCTGTCATTGCGAATCAGAATTCTGCTTCAATTTTTTCCTGGCTCTGCACAGAAAATATGCCTGTTTGTTTTTGCAATCCCTGAATTTCTCCCTAATCACTTCTCCCTTTACAAATAGCCTCAATTACAAAAACTATCAAATTGACACAGTATGGGCAAGCAGAGATTTGCAATGTCAAAGGATTATAAAAGAGCAGCCACTGCTTTCAACTTTCTTAAAGGGGGGGGAAATGAAATCAGTAGACACTATTTCTACAAATAGAAGTGTAGCTCTGTGACAATAATTAGCACTGCTGGAGTTTATATGAAAAGATGGTGGTTATCTGCTGCTCTTTGTATTACAGGTATAATGCTGAGTATATCGCTGAAAGAGGAGCAAAAAATTGTTAGTTTGCAGCATTCTGCAGTCTGCACTCTTATCTGAGTTCTGCTTAATGCTATGCTTACTTATTTGACTGGAGCACACAATTTGTTTGTGCATGCTAGTGTCACAACACTGCAAAGGATGTACAGGAAAATGCAGAGCTGCAATAGGAGTCTGACTTTGGAGTCTCTGTCTGGTGGAGAGTTCCAGTAATATATATGGAACATACCCAGTTGTAGGTTATTGGGAAAATGTTATATTGTGGCTGGGTTAGCTGAGCTCAAGAAAATACAGAAGAACCTCAGAGTTACGGACACCTTAGGAATGGAGGTTGTTCCTAACTTTGAAATGTTCATAACTCTGAACAAGACGTTATGGGATGCTCCTCAGAGCAGACTGCTGAGAGCAGGGGCTCACAAACTGCAAACTTCAGCATCTTCACCTCCTACCTGTAAGTGGCTGCTCCCCATGTGGCGAGTAGGGAATGTGGGTGGAAACAGGCAGCCCAGATGTGCCTACCTTTAAGATGCAATACAGGGACAGTATTTGATGGATTTTAGTTTGTTTCTTTGTTTGTTTTTTGCCTCCGTTGCTGCCTGATTGGTTACTTCCAGTTCCACATGGTGTCCAGTTGACCGGTCCATCTGTAACTCTGGTGTTCATATCTTTGAGGTTCTACTGTATGAACGGGAACCTACACTAGTTTTCATGTCATAGCACATGCTTCCTTTAGTGCTAACCATTGAAATAATGAAGTAGTTGAAAACGGGGTGCTCCATCCTGTACAGAGATTCTCAGTGTAATATTTCGGGAACATCCAATCAGAATGCAATCTCAATCTTTGTATAAATGAGGTGTTAGAGATTTTTATCCTTTATTGATGGCAGGAAGGACGTTTCCTTTTGTTTCTGAAAAAGACATTTGTGAGAAACCACCCAGGTACTCTTAAACAAATACTTAAACAAAATAAAATCAAGAAAATATCACTGAAACGAAGCTACTGTACATAATACTGAATTTTTTTCTTCCCACCCCCCAGACCTCATCCCCAGAACAGTGATAGTACATACAAACTTGAACAAAACACTCTGATAAGCTGTGACCATGGTGCCTGGAGAGGGCCACCCTGAGATTGCTCAATCAGGGCAAACTGCCAAGAATGGGGCAGACGATTCCCAAAACTGGTGGCTATTCTAATAATTAGATTCACCAAGCCAGCAACAAAACAGCTTCTATGGTACCTTACTAGTTACCCAGAAGCTAAAAACACAGCTCCTTTAAATCAACCCATTCCTTGGCTCCCACCCAGATAGCCAAGTCAAATATGGTGAGGATTACTTAAAATCTTGTTCAACATATAAAGTTCTACCAATCCCAAGGGACATTACCCACCAGGTCAGAGAATATTTCAGATCTGACCCAAAAACACACTTACAACCAATTCTTATTAACTAAATTAAGATTTATTAAAAAAGAAAAGAGAGTATTGTGGTTAAAAGATCATCATACACACAGATATGAATACAGTTCTCAAGTTAGTTTCATAGTAGAGATGGTGAGCTGCTGATTTGTAGAAATTTCTTCCAGAATCAATTTCATAGGTTATAGTCCAATAGGCAGTCCATTTGTAGAGTCTGTTTAAATTCTTCCATGAGAAACAGCAGGGTAATCCAGACTTGAGATGGAGACCTCAGTATGTGAATTAAGCTTCCCCGACCAAGTTTTTGCAGATCTGAGATGAAAAAGGGATCAGGTCCAAAAGGTTCTTTGTAGCTCTCTGGCAGGTTATGACAGCCTCTTCATAGCAGGTATCCCTTATATGAAGAACAGGTAATATACATTGTGGCTTTTAAAGCAATACTCCTATTTCCTATGTATACACAGGTAATTAGTTGTAATTCATCAGCACAAGGTAATTATCCAGTCAAGGAGTTCATATACAGTTTACTAAAAACTTCAAAGAGAAATATAAACAAAGATATTACATCAAGTTTCATATAAATGTTAATATTCCCTTTTGATCTCCAAATCAATAGAACATAGTATCAAGACAGGAAGAGAAATTTATCATCTATCAGTTAATGAGATCACATTGTGAAGCTTCTAACAAATATAGGTAAACACAGACAAATATAATTACTATTTACTTCAAATTCTTTGACAATACAAACTTTCATTTCAAACATTCTGGTCTATCTAAGATGGCTTTGATAACTATCTACAAGAAATGGCCCTGTTTTACCATTTCAGCACCTCTCTAATACGTTCTTAAAGGTTGATCTGGGTCACTTTAGCCTTAATCCTTTCTGGGTCAGTGTCACATAAGTAGAATTTTGAGAACTCTTGCTTAATCTTTTTGAACTAACGTCTTTATGTTTAATGGAGTATCTTTATGAAACTGTTTAAATTTGAGGAACTTTCTATCTGTTTCCCCATGTGGACTTTTCTGGTGCTCATGCATTCACACAAACTTTCACACCCTAAAACTAGAGAATAAAAAGGCAGAAACATCTCCCAGTTAATAAAAACACAAAATAAAAATAGAAAAAGAAAAGACAACAGTGGGTTCATGAACTCTTCAGCTCTGCCCTGGGTTCTGATGAAACAGGACTAGAACTGTTGTCAAGGAGCCAAATGCCTGGCACAGTGCTTCTTGATGATTGTCTTTCTTCAGCTGAAGAGAGAAGCTAGTCAAAAGGAGGTGTAGCCCTTTATATGATGTGACTTCCTCTCCCTGAGGTGATTAATCTCAGGGTTCTAGATTGTCAGTCTTCCATCAGACAGTTTGTTAGCTCAAAATGTGAGGGCTCGCAGCCTTAACCTTGGTTCTTATGGTTTGTGAGTTTTGCTTACTCCACTTGCAGTGTCTTTCTCCAAGAACTATCAGCAATCACATGTGAAACCTATCTTGGAGCCATGCAATTTTGTCCAGTCAGGTTTGTGTTAGGTCATCCGTTGCCAGCGTGAACTTGGAAGACTTCTGCTTAAGCCTGCAATTAAAAAAATATTCAATGTTTTGCATCCCACAAAGACTGTAAGTTTGTGACCTCCGCACCCAATGTAAAATAGACAAAATGAGGCCGCTTGTGAGGAAGTGACATAGCCTTGTCTGGGTGAAAAGGTTTTGAGATGATGCTATGCCATTAGTTTGCAGAAAGCTTTACCAACATCCTGGAAGAAAAGTCTGATTGAAAAGATCTTGGAAACCAACAGCAATTCATCCTTCAGCAAGGCTGAAAATAAACTTGAACATCTTATAACCGGCTGTCATCATTCTTCTTCCAAACAAGATGATTAGTAATTTTTATGTCTCAGAACTAGGCCATAAATCAAACAAGCTTATCTTTGAAAGATTTCATCTTGATGGAGAAAAGATACTTTACAACATCTCATGATGAAACCCATTTAAGAATGATAAACAATTCAAGCTTATACAAGGTCTCTATCCCATATGCCCTATTTTCCTCACATCTTGCCATACTCATCTAGGCCTTTCAGATCTCAAACTTGGATTCGCGCACTGCACTTGACACGGGACAGTGAACCATTCTGGGATTGCAGCTAGCGCTGAACACTGCTATCATTGTATAAAGCAGTACCGCTTTATATGTGACACTGTAGCTCTTTTGGCTTGTAATGGCCATTGATTTACTGGCAGAAGTTTGAGGCATCAATATCGTTTTCTCTGATCACCTTTTGTACGCACCAGTGCAGCTACTCATATAAGCAGACTCATAATGGTTTGGGACTTAAAGACTAATGCGCTCTTTGTGTGATGCAATGCAGTTGTCAACAGCGGAGGCTAAAAGTCCCCTGGTTTAAATTGGAAAAGGTTGGTGGTTGGGCATTATCAGTGAGACAGCCTTAGCTTTGAAACTACCTTCTCCTTATTCCCCAGCTTCATGCCTTTTTGGTTCACCATAGTCAGGATTTGTGAACTTCATGGGATGCTGCAATACTCACATGATTTAATAATCTTTTCTGGGCAGAAGGGAAGGCTAGAGGTAGGGGTGTAATCCGAATTAACTATTAAAGTGTTTTTGTTTATTAAGGAAATTGTTCTTACTGTCCTTTGGGCAGTGTGATTTAATTTTGTATGCACCAGAATAGCTACTGCACTGATATGTGCAGTGTACAATGCAAATAAATGAATAAATGAAGTCACAATGGGTTGTTACTCTCTCCTAATCCATCTATTTTCAGTTACCTTGCCCTTTTCTTGATCCTAGTATGAACAGTTAATGTAGCCTTTCCCTTTTAATCGCATTAAGGTCTGTACATGTCTAACCATTTTAACCTTCCATTTCCAGCAGCTACTCTTTATTTCAAACGTTTTTTGGCCTGAATTTTGTTTTATGGAGGGTTTTATGGACTCTCATCCCAGCTTGGTTTTCACTTTCTAATTCTGTACAGCATCCACGTTATTGCTGAAACGCTGTGAATGGTGCCACTAAACATGATTTTAAATGAGGTGGAGAATAACCTTTCATTCCTGTTCTTGCCGAGCAGGTGCTTCTGTTTTAGGCGATTAAGGCTGCCATTTCTCTATGCACTTAGAATATCCAGACATGGTAAATCTCTTGGTCTTGAAGTTTTCCTGCATTATTCGTAGCATCAAGTGGTCAGCTACTCAGACTGTAATTTACTAGTCAATTTTCTGGGTCTTGCAGTTCACAGAGATCTTTAATTATGCAATACAAGGTTGAACATGGACTCATCTCTCAGAGGAATGTTAAAACCTCCCTCACTTACTTAAAATCCCTTAGAAGCCATTAAATCTATGAGCAGGATTAAGCAGCAGTTCTTTAATTACCAGCATATATTATAAATATATTTTTATTGCTGTCTTCTAAATAGAGTTGCTTTCTTCCAGTCATGTCTTCCCAGACCGAGCAGAGATTCTCTCTTTCTTGCCTTACTCTGTTAGGTTTGTAGAATGTCAAAGTGGAAGGTTACACATGCTTCCGCTGCCCTTGTCACTACCCATCCAAAGCTATATGACAATTCCCATATTTTCTTGACAGTTAAAACTGTATAATTGTTTTCATGTAAGCACTTAAGTGTGACTGACTGTCAGATTCTTGAACTCAAGTCAAAACACTGTTTTTTCCCTTTGGAAAAAGAAGGTGGCTGGAATATGAATGCAACTGTTAGCCACATAACCAAATAGATTTCTTCACTTAGCACAGTCCTGGATTTCAGAAGGTAACCCACACCAAAAGCTAAAAGATAGAGGCCCCTTCCTGTTTTCAATTGCATGGCAGTGAATCTGGGGTTTAGCTGCAGAATCTGGCATGTTCAGTCTACGGGCTTACTCCTTTCACTCTCCAAAACCCTGGGTCTAAACACCTTCTCATGAATGGGTTTGGATCTGAAGATGGAGAGGAACAATAGGGCCTATCTCTCGTAGTTACAGAATAATAGATCCTACATTCTGAATTTATTTTTAGATTCTGATTTTGTTTGTCTAGACAATAATTTTTTTTAAAAAACAAAACAAAAAACCACTGAGGGTAGCCAGGGAATTAGGATGGATTTTCTGCATTTCTTTTCTCTGTGGGTTTGTCATCTTCCTGTTTTTGCAGGCATGTTACCCTTAGATTCAAACATCCCATAAACTTTATCTAGTGTCCATCACATGACACTGTCAGGTTGAAACAACAACTGCAAACAAATTCAAACCACTTCTGGTGCAATTACTGTATAATAATCTCAACCTACCAAAATATTAATCACGTGTGTACAATTTCCCCACAAGTGGCTACTGCCCTTTATTTTCTGCTTTGTAGGATTAGTATAGTTTATCATACCATATGTGACATTTTGAATATGGATATATTTCTGCTGAGCATGAGTAGCTGAAGTTTTTATTGATATTGTAAATTATCACATGACCTGACTGCGGTAGAATTCTTTGGCTGAACGTCTTATCTAGCACCATCGTTTGTTGTCTGAATGGTCATTTCAGTCCCTTAAATATATTTTTACACTGGTTGTTGTAAATTAATGTTTAGTGTTCAAATTTTGTTTTGTAACTTGATGAGAGCAGTAGAGCAGCAGACAAAAATAATTCCTCTTGCCTGGTGCAGATTATGTAAAATTGCTTTCCAGGGACTGACGGTGGAGTGATTAGCAACAAAGGACAGTGCAGGGGAGGTCATAGAGGTTCAATCCCCTACCAAAGCCTTGGTGTAAGTCTAAATGAGTTGAGCGCTAATGCTGGAAAATCTCGGGGCTGGCCACCTGTCTGGAAAGTGGGAGAAATGGTACTTGTCTAAGATTGGCTTGAAAATGGAGACAAGAATCCAGTGCTATACACTAAAAAATATGGGCCACTGGGGGAAGCGAGTGGAGTAAGACTTGCTTGTCAACAATCCCACTCAGTTTTAGCAATGTTTTGTAAGTGGGGTAGAACATGAATAAATAGAAAATACAAGGACAAAAGAGTGGAAAGAAAATACATCTTCACAGAACTTACTGGAATCATGTGAGGTCTAGGCCTGCCCAACTACTCGGGTGCAATGCCAGCTGAAGTCATTGATGGCTTTGCCTAAATAAGAAATGCAGTGGCAGGCCCTTGAAGTAGTTTTATTGAATCAGAAGTCCCACAATTTGAAGTGTTAACACAGGTTACATGTAGGAATGTGCACTTGGCAAAAACAACTTTAATGTGGGATTTTTCAAAAGCACCTATGGAAGTTAGCAGCACAAATCCCCTCTCCCACCCTCCGATTTTTTACTCCCTTTTGTGATTTTTAAAATCTCTTCCCCTCCCACCTGTGGTGTGGAATTTACAGGACGTTAATTAATTTTATGTAGAGAATTTTCATCAAACTCAAGATTCCTAAATTCCTTTATACTCTTCAGTAAAACAACTTTACAAGAATGTTTTAATTTACAACAAAAATGAACCCCCAAACCCAATCCTGAATCATGATTTTCTACATATGTTTGTGTAGTAGAGTAGCATTGTCTCAGCCAATCAAAGTACTGGGATGTTGAACAGCTACTGCCCCTTAACTACATGTTTTGTTCTCCATTTTGCAAATACCTATTTGCTGACTGAGGGGTCTGATTTTACATAAGTACTGTTTTATTTCCTGATTATGAAAATCTCCCTATTCTGTATGTCTACTATAAAACTCTTGACTCTGGCTACTGCCCTCATAATTCCTTATCCATATGTCTACAATAAATGTATTTGCAGCATTTGACTTTTGCCTCGTCCTATTGTCAGGTACTGAATACAATACAGTTAAAAGTAACTGCAGTATTCTTACTCTGGGCTAGATCCTACTACCCTTACTCCTTGCATGGGGAAGTCTTACTCCTTGCATGGGGAATTCTAATTGGCTAATGCCCTCAGTGCACCTGGGCAAGGTGACAGAGAGCAACATTTCAGCACAGGAACTTTTGTGATTATTGCTAACTCACCATGGAACAGATTCCGGGTTAATCCACTTGAAGACTGAAGGCCTGGGGGTTGATTAACCTAGGCAAGATGTTACCTCAACAACTGGAAAAACCCTCAGGTTATTATCTAATTAACATCAAGGTAACTTATAAATTTAAGCACTAGAAATCTTAGAAATAAAAGCAGCACCTCAAATTATCATCTAATTGCCTGACATAGTCAATTTATAAATTTAATACTAGAAAACTCTCCAGAAATGGAACTTTTACTAATAAAACTTCCCTCCCACACATATTTCACCTGTATTCCTTTTATTTTTTTAAAGGAGTGATTCATTCAAAGCAGACTTGAGTTCAACTGTTTTCTACATCTTTACAAGTTTGTTTATATTATTTTTATTTATTACAAAGTAACCAAGCATGTATTGTAGTTGGACTTTAAGGACAGCTGTTTCTGTCCTTAAAGCATTGACTGCTCGTTATGAGGTCTGATATTTCAATCTCCATCACTTTTGCATTAAAAGAGTAAACAAAAATAGATTATCAATAATGCTACAAACAAGTACACATAATATCATCTTGCCATACATGGAATACAATTAGCATTTTTAAATAAAGGGACCATGATGGCAGCCCCAGGCAGTGGGAAGCCTGAGCTTGCAGCAGGAAGGGATGAAAGTGGTGATGCAAAGCAGAAATGAATTCCCTTCTGCTGGAAAGGGTTTAAGAGGCAACACAGCCTCCAAAATGTGTGCTGCTCTCATAAACAGGGGATGCTGTAATTCAGCACAATCCTCTGGGCAGCCTCAATGCATGGTGCTTAGATGGATCCCCTATGGAATATTTAAGGTGCCCTGCTAGGCAGAATTTTCAGGGGAAAGCACACTCTCCTTCAAATCATTCCTGAAAACCCACTTTTTACAAACCCTTGCCTGCCTACTCCCACTCTGTTATCTTATTGCCAAAGATACTGTAAAGAAAAATAACCCCCAAAGTCACAGAACTAACACAACATGCTTAACCTCACCCTTCAGTCAGATTGCTTCTCACTGTTCCGTTTCCTTGCCCCCGCTTGTATATTGTCTGGCTAGATTGTAAGCTCTTCAGAACAGGGTCCTTGTTTTCCTATCTGTCTCTAAAGTGTCTAGCACACTGTTGGCTCTAGACAAATACATACTAAAAATGACAACATGCCTGTCACAGATTCCTCCTGAAAGTACTCTCTCTTTATCTATGCAAGCTTGCTTTCTTTGTTCACCAGTTAGCTGCTGCTTTTGTATAGTTAGAGTTATATACCGCTTGAATCTCTCTCTCTTATTCTAACGTAATAACATTTTAATCCTCCCATATAATATTGCTGCTAAATATCTTCAACATTACTTCAGAATCTCAGCAAGGGAAACAGAAGACTCTCAACTAAACACCCTGCAGTCTGGTTTGCAAAAGATGGCAGCAAATTAACCTCTGCATGTCCGTGGGGGATTCTACTTCAATCATGTTGAACTTTAAAGGGAAAACTCACCTTACCTCCTTACTCTCACAGACTTTACTACTTTATCATGTATGTCTTTGGGTGGCCTGGTGCTCTGCCTGGCTCTATGTAATTTTAGTACATTTTATTTAGACCTGGAAAAAAGATAGCTATCCAAATAAGGTGCCCATGGCACTGTAATTTGGTTTTGTTTTTTGTTTTGCAAAATTACCCATAAGCTCCATCTTTGAGAAATGACATCACAGTTCAGGTGAGTTAGCAGTGTCTAGTGCTTTAACAGAGAGTCACTTGTGAATATCCAAGAGAGTGAAAAGATGTAATGGAAGTAGGTCAGATGAGGCAAATAAATAGCTTGACTTATGCACAGGCCTTGATTTGTTGGCATTTCTGAGCTATGGCTATACTACAGCTTGTCAGCATAATTTATGTCGCTTAGGCCTGGTCTACACTGGGGGGGGGGGGATCGATCTAAGATACGCAAGTTCAGCTGTGAGACTGGCGTAGCTGAAGTCGACGTATCTTAGATCGACTTAGAATCACTTACTTCGCGTCCTCGCGGCGCGGGATCGATGGCCGCCGCTCTCCTGTCGTCTCCGCTTCCGCCTCTCGCCAGGGTGGAGTTCCGGAGTCGACGGCAGAGTGATTGGGGATCGATTTATCGCGTCTACACTAGACATGATAAATCGATCCCCGATAGATCGATCACTACCCACCGATCTGGCCGGTAGTGTAGACATGGCCTTAGGGGTGTGAACAAACCACTCCCCAACCGACACAAGTTATACCAACATAAGCACCAGTGTGGACAGCACTATGTTGGTGGGCGAGCTTTTCCCACCAACATAGCTGCAGCAGCACAGTGGTTTTATTATGCCGATGGGCGAGCTCTCTCTCCTGTTGGCATAGGGCTTCTCCACCAGTTGTGCTGCAGCAGCACAGATGCATCTGTGAAGCTGTACTGCTGTAGCATTCCTAGTGTAGACAAGCCCTGAAATTCTGTACCTGCACTGTACCAAATCTGCTCATCTTGTATCATATTGAATCCGTACCCTTTTTTGGAGCTTGTCAAAGATGTACTTGGTATACGGTAAGTATAATAACCAATACCCAAGTGCTGTGGGTTTTTTTGTTTTTGTTTTTTAGTAGCTAGTTTAACTTGATTCAGTGTGACATCTCTGGATGTAATGACATAATAGCAAGCAATTTCACATAATGAATTATGATATTGCTCTCGGCTATGGCACCAACACTAAATTAAAACTTGTTAAAAAAATTAAAAATTGACTTTCCTCCTGGTCATTTATTTCACATAGTAATGGGTATTGCAGACATGAATGAAATATCACTAGGAACCTCTGTATGATGTTAAATATTTTTTGGAGTAGTGACTGTTGGACATCAATTTTATATATATATTTATCCTAATTTTTGTCTTCTCCCTCCTACTGAAAACCAACTTGTTCAAGGCATCAAGAATTCATGAAAAGATGACTATATATTTCATTGACGAATTTCACTCCATGTGACCTTACATCATCCACTTAAGCAGATGGCTGTAAAGTGTGTTCCCAAAATCTTTCCACAGGAATTTAAGTATATACAGGATTAGGACTTTAATCTAAATTGTTTAGGATTAACTACAAAAAATAATCATGATCATTTTATCCAGTGAATAATGGATTTCCTTAATCTGATTTAAAAACTGGATGCAATAGCAGTACTTTTTTTACATGACAAAAATGGGCTCTCAGGAAAGTGTTTTGACTGGGTGACTTTGCCCATGGTAAGTGGACTTTTTCCTAGCTTTCCATACTACTCGGTGTACACATCTGTAAACTCAGATTTAGGAAGTTCAGGAATCAGATAGCTCTTTGCTCCTTGTTTGCATTGGCACATAAGTGTTAGGTAGCAGATGGCCTTTTTTCTCAGTGGTGCTAATCAAACTTTGATACATCTAGATTTGCACAAGGGAAAAGCTGATAAGGCTGACTGAATACATCCGCTAAACTGTTTCTTGCAGATCCTGAGAAATGACTCAATATTCAGTTAGTCTGGAAAGCTGGAACTAGAGGGACAATACGGTGGTTAAAATGTCAGCTTCTGTAAACAACCAAAGCAGAGCCAATTGCTTACACATATCTCAGAATCAGATTCATATGTTGGCTTTTTGTAAATGACCTTGCTGTCCTAATGCCTTCCTTGAGTAGGTTGTTTTTATGAATTGAGATGGTGAAGGACCTTGTTAATCAAATCTTGCATGCACAGGACTTCTGTTGACTTCTGTGGAAGCCCCAAGTGTGAAGGGCATGCAGAACTGAGACTCAAATCCATCTCTTGGTGGAGGCAGTCCATGCTGCAAGAATGAGCAGAGATGCTGGCAGATGTATCCTCTGCAACAGAACCCTTTGCATGTGAGCCAAGAGTATATTCTGTGGGTGAACTTTGTTACTCCTCCATGCAAGAATAAAGCACATCCTGACTTGCTGTCAGGTACTGGTTGCTGCTGGAGCTAGTAGAATGCATGAGAGTCAGCTGTAGCCCTTTTTCCAGTTCAGCCCTTTCCTTACTTTGGGTCATGATGTATCCTGTTATGTAGACCTATCATCCACTGCAATCTAGTGTATTGTTCTGCCTAGTTGTTTATATTGAGGGGATGGGGCAGGTTCTTTTTATTCTTTTTTATCTCTTCACCTTGTGCCCCAGCACTCATAAAGAATGATTTAGCCCCAATTATCTAAGCTAAGCTGGCTCGACCAGAGTTATGTATCACTTGCCTTTTTACTTCTGGAAATATAGCTTCAAATTCTGATAAGGTAAAATGGGCTTTGTAGTTTTCACTCCTCCTTAGTGTCCTCTTTCTTCCACTATCACACTTGGCATAGAGCCTCTATGGACAGAAAAAGCTCAGCATTAGCATAGGAGGGGATGCTGCAGGTCAGCACTGAGGTGTATTTGCAGAGTGTAATTGTACTTGTGGCTTGCAATGGGGTGTACAGATGATGCGGGGGGAGGGTCCAACTATCCCTGACCTGCTTTTTCTACTAGTCAGATTTGTGAACCTGCTACTAATTTGTAACCCAGGGACCCCCATGGTGCCAACTGGCACAAGACACTGGGTGCATAGTGTTTTACAGGGATTACCTGGGTCAGATATATTCATAATAGCACACCGAAGGATGACATGTGAGGTCTCTCCTGAGAGCCAGCAGCCCACTGGTCAACATAATCATTGCAAGATGTATGTATATTTAAAGAGTTATTTATCTATGCTGAAAAATATGTTCTTGAGGTCTTGGAGTTAAGGCAGGTCACCAGGAAGTGATACACCTTCAGCCTGAAAGAAGTGATACACCTTCAGCCTGAGGTAGAAGGCATCTATCTTCCTGTCTGACTATTTGTATATTGTGTATCGTATGCCTATTTGTATCCTGAGCCATAGGCAAAAGATGAGTTTGTTTATTTATCCCTGAAGATTTTCTCTCTTGCAGATCTTGCCAACAGTGGCGGAGGAGGAGAGAAGGAACTCCTGTTTATGACAAGAGAAAAGGCTTATTTTGGTATATCTTGGGGTGCAAAGAAACAAACGGGATCCTTCACCTAGGAGGCGAGCTGACAGCATGTCTGTCTCATGAATTGAAGGTCACAGACAAACTGGCTGAAGAGCACTGCAAAGATTTGGGTGAACATTGCTCTACAGAACATGAAAATATCTAGTTACGTCTAGGCTCTAAAACGTGTTATGGTTTTATTTCATATGTTACCATTTGTTTCAAATACTTCTAATACTAGCTATTACTTTAATCTCTGTGTTTTGTTAAATAATCATATACCTGATGTCATTATAAACCAGAGATTCCCAAACTTGGTTCGTGACTTGTTTAGGGTAAGCCCCTAGGGGGGCCGCGAGACGCTTTGTTTACCTGAGCGTCCGCAGGTACGGTCGCTTGCAGCTCCCAGTGGCCGTGGTTCGCCATTCCCAGCCAATAGGAGTTGCGGGAAGTGACTCTACCTGGCTCTACCTATGCTTATTCACATCAGTGAATTTAAGAAGAATATATTAAAAAAGGAATGTAGAGTCATCATAATACAGATGAGCAGACTGAAAGCTTAAGCAAGGCAGAGCCTTTAATTAGTTTTGGTAGAATTCAATTTTTATATATAATTTGACAGATATCACTGCTTATTTTTAAGCACTTTTTTCAATTTTATTGATTTTACATTTTCCCAGTTGTGGGAAATTATGGGAGGTCAGGCAAAGGGGGAGGTCAGATAATAATGATTTAGTGACAGTAGATGTTGCCATTCAAAAAGTTAGAGCTTTGTAATAATTAAAAACAAATAATTAACATCACAACTCAAAATATACAAAGTAAATATCTTTAAATCAAACTCTACGTTCTCAAGCACCATTTTTTTTATTTTGCCTAATCTGTAAATTTTACTTATTATCAATGAAAATATTGTAATACTCTTTGTACAAATCATGCCTTGTGAGATATCATTTAAAAATCATAGTTTGCTGATGAATACTATGGCAAAATGCATGTAGCACGTTATATGTGAGATTATAAACATAAACTGAGGCCATGAGTAAAAATAAGTTTTCCAGAGAAGTCTAGGGAATGGCCAAACCAGTTCCTCAGAGACAAAGGGCAAGCTGACACCGGAGCCAGGTGTAAACAAGGACCATTACCTGCTAAGTTGCCATTCTTTGGCACAAAAGGGGGCAGGGGCAAAAAATCTATATTTTATCAAATGAAACAGCATGGAGTTCCCTTCCACACAGACTGCCTATCACCTCGCTGCCAGTTGGAAATACTTCTTAAAGTTGGGACAGGACTATAAAAAGAAGTGGCAGAAAACCTAAGGTACTCCTCCTTCCTCTTTGTCTCTCTCTTTCCCCCCTTCTCCATCGATTCATTGCACCAGACCGGACAAAGGAAGCAACCATTGAACTGGAGAAGGGGTCCTGACTGAAGAAGTTTGGTCAGTAAGACTGCTGAAAGTGTGTGGTGAGAACTTTGCTTTCAATTTAACAAAGTTTGTTAAGTTAGGCACCAGTAATTGTTTTATCTTTATTTTTCTTGTAACCATTTCTGACTTTTATGATTCATTACTTGTACTCACTTAAAATCTCTCTCTTTGTAGTTAATAAACTTGTTTTACTCTGTTATCTAATCCAGGGTGTTTAAATTGAAGTGCCTGGGAAAGTCCATTGGGGTGGTAAATTATTTGCATGTTATGTCTATAAAGTTCATTATTGTCCAGGAGAGGGCTAGATGATACAGGACATACATTTCTGGGAGAAAGTCTAGGACTTGGGTCATCCTGCAGTATAACTAAGGCTGGTGAGAGCCAAGGTGTGACTGTCTGACTGCAGTACACAAACAGAGATGGCTGGAAGTTACTTGCATACTGGAGGCTGTTTGTGCTGGAGCCTACAGTAGTAAAGCAGTTTAAAAGGCTCCCCAGGTTAGAGGGCAGGGGTGACACAGCTACTTATTAGTCTGGCTTGAACCCTGGATATGTCACTGTGCGTACAGTAAAATTTACTTTTACTGATTTAAAAACATAATTCTTCCAAACCTATTTA